ACATGTACATTAAATTTTTGTTTTACTTATCAGCTTTATTGCTGTAAGAGTATGTTTGCTTTTCACTCATTACATTGAATGATAAATGAATATGAAAGTAAAGAACTTTTAACTAAAGTGTTGCGTGTTAGCCTGTCCTATGGTCTCAGTGGTGTCCAGTGTTTGCATCATGGAATTAAAAGGAACAACTTTTGTGCTAATACCCAAAAATATAATTAGATCTTTACAATAAAATGAGTTTGGATGCTATTAGTTACAGACAGACTGACAAAAGGAACAGCTAGTATTCAAAACAGTTCAAAAAACAGAATTAACAAGCATGACTACCTTCTGGTATGTGCCATGTAGTGTGGTAGAAATTTACCAATGTTTCAGATGTGCTTACTGCCTATGAAACATTGGTACGTTTCTATCAGACTACATGGCACATCCCAACGATTGTCATTCATACTCATCAAGATCAGAACTGGTTTTATGTATCTTAGCTTTTGGATGAAATTTGGGAAGATGTCTGTAATTGAATTCTTAGAAAGTGAATGTATGGTACACCATTAACTTTTTTGAGCTGTTTTGTTTGTTTAATTTTAAGGACCACTTTACCTAAGGGCATACACAAAAAATTGACTTCTTCTACAAAGTATCAATCCCTCAATAGTCACTCAGACTTTCCCAATGGCATAACAATTTTATATAGGGTCTACTTATTGGCTTACTTCCTTGTCTTAACTTTCCTAGTAGATCCTGTACCTTAAGACTTATTTCAGATAAAGATTAAGTTCATGTTCCAGTGTGTTGCACTTCAGATGTTATCTTGTCTTTGTAGTTCTTCAAGTTTTGACCTCATTATGAAGTACAAAATATTTAAAATACAACAATTAAATACTGCAATAAACATCAATCAAACAAACACAGTAATGCCCATACTAGTCAGAAATAAACATCAGCGAGAATGAAAGATATCTTACTGTAATAAGATGTTCAATATTTCACATTATTAAATAATGCTTGCTTAAGGTTGCCTTCTGCAGTTTCCTGTCTTATCCATTTGCAATGACCATTCCATTCCCAGACAAGATACTTATCAGGAAATATGTATGCATAACTATGAGTACATTGCTGATCAATATTACAAGCCTTAAGCAATATACATTATCAAACTGCACTGGACATGACATTTCAGTTTGTATTTATTAGGTTTTGACAAGATAACTCATTTTATTAGATACCTAAATGGCATCTGTTTGATGAAACATACAGATCATAAGATTCACCCACTAAAAAAGTAAAGCTGCCTCCAATACATGCCGTGGAGGTGCTGGCAGGGAGGGAGATAAGCTCTTTCTCATTTTTAACTTCAGTGTTACATGGAGGTGTGTGACAAGCAACATGCCCTGGTTGCACTTTACCCTGATATCAATCAACTCGTTAGAAGGCTGAGTGGATCCCAGACTCAGTCTGGAAGAAAACTTCCTTGTCCCTACCAAGGATTGAACCCTGGTCATCCAGTCTGTAGTCAGATATTATACTGACTGAGCTACTCCATTTCAGATTCATCTAGTACCTTCATTAATTCATTATTAGAAAAAATTTCCATAGACATTTTTTTCAAGTTTAAGCTACTGAAGTTAACTTGGACACTGCCAAGAATGATTTTTAGCACAAATCATATCACTTATTGGTATCTGGATTAACAAGACAGCATACATAAAGGTTAGAGAACTAAAAGCCTCACTTTTACTGATTTCAAACATTCAGTACATTGGTGTTGTTTCATGACAAAATAAAACTGAATAGTTTATCTTCCCATCACATCTCAGGATAAAGAATGGCTCATTTATATTATGACTTGTGAACGAAACAAATAATAAATTCAGTATCTTTGTGGCATCTGCATGTCTTATGATGTATGTAATAACACAAGCGCTTTCATGCCTTTGCTTCTTCTCTCTTGGTTTCTTTTTCCACAGCTCTTTCCTTTGCTTTCTCATAAAGAGGCAGGAGTTGTCCTTCTTTAGCAAGAATTTTTAAAATCTCTACAATGAGTGGGAGATAGTTATGTTTCCTTCGGATATTTTCCATCTGGTACTGTTTAGTTTTCAGTTCTTCCTCTTCAATCAGTAAACGTAGCCTGGAGATTTCAGTTTGCTGAATATCAGTTTCCATGCCACTCTCCTGATGTGAAAACAAGAAAAAAAATACTTTTAAATTCACCCCACACAACACAGGAGAGAAAAAAAGTTAAAATATTTAATGTTCTTATCATTTCTGAGTGAAAAAGAGAAAACTTCAATATTCCAAATAAACATAGCACAACAAAGAAGAAATCATAAATGACTGCTAACCACAACTTCATGTGGGAAGTCACAGAATGAAAGCTGAGAACACATTTGAGTTCCAATTTGCTGAAGGAGACTACACTAAGTGGTGAGCATGATTAACCAGTATTTACACAAACGCACATGACTCTGTTCCATGGAGTGTGTTATAAACACTTTTTTACAAGATGAACAATATATATATATATATATATATAAACTGCTCTAAAAAAAATCTGTTAATGCCTCACTTTTCTTGGCCATCTGTTATCTTTACATTTTCTTTCCATTACCCTTGATCCTTGTTTCTCCAATTAATCTTTCCCTTCTTATCTTTATTTTTAGATTCTCTGCAGTTTACAGCTTCATTTACCATTCCAGTCAAGGTTAGCTTATCCTCTGGATAAAATGTGAACATTTTCAATATTGCCCATTTTTTCCACTAAAAATTATCAGCTTTCTATTTTGTCAAATTCTTTTTATATAAACAGCTTGGCCTGGGGAAGGGATAAATTTTGATTTGTTTGGATGGTGAGAACTGTCGGGGATTTACTTTGATTCACATAACACCTGTAGCTGCTTGGTAAGCCATGATATGCTTTGTATTAATGGATATTTATAATAAGCATGGTTATGTTCATGATAACTGTATCAATAAGCCAGACTTATTTTACTTAACTGGTACAATTCACAGTGCTATGTCAAACTGAGTATTATCCATTGTTTGGTTTCTTATATACAACTTGTATCTGTTGTTTGTTAAAATGACTTCAATATATTTAGAAAATCAGTATTAATTTAAAAGAGTAACTGTACTTCCTGTATCCACATGTATGGCCACTTTTCATGTTACTTTTGCTCTTCATAATAATGGCTAGTTAAGATGGTACCTGTTATGATTTTATTTTCACCCAATTTGGGAAGGATACTTTTAATCTAGGTATAGTAAAGATACAAGCTGATGATATTCAGGTGCAATCATCTTATACTTTTATGCCAGCAGTTAAAAGGCATCTGATAAATTACATTTGCCACATTTCACTGCAAAAATGAATAAATTCATCCTAAAGAATGTTTACAACCTGGAATAAGGGAAACATTTTATATTCAGTTAATTAATATACCCACCTCCACTTGTTTCTGAATTTGTGTAATTTTCTTCTCATAAGTCATTTTTCGGTCAGATACAATTGCCATTAGATTGAAATGTATTTCTCCATCATTATACCTGAAATGCAAGATGTATATATGCTAAAAAAAGTCCTCATAAAATATAAATGTGTGAAGTATTGGGTATTTTATCCTCCCAAAGTTGTGCAAACTCTACTAGAATTCAAAGTCTCTCAACCCTTTTATTGGTAAACACTTTGTTAAGCCAACTTGAGACCAACCTGTGCCAACTGTCTTCCTGTTTGACATTAGCTAGCTGTTCTTAGCAGTCTGTATCTCTTCTGGTATAATATAACCTTTGCTACCCACTGGTTGAATACTGATCATTCACTGTTATGAGCAAATATTTGATAAGCACAAAATAATCTAATAGTCTTTATGATTTTTAAAATGTTTCATTCATTATACCAATATTATACCTGGATGTGGTCTTCTTAGTTATGACATCTAGTCTTTCTGGTGTTTACTAAACATTTTAAAAGAACTTCATCACCTCCAATTTACCCTTATGAAGAAAGCGAGAGGTTCTCTGAACTATTAATAACCACCTACAAGACTACATGGCATCATAATCATGTTAAAGGTCTCAGGCCTCAAAACTAGTCCCTAAAACCTTGGAAATTAGACCACTGGCTCAGGCCCCTAAAATCCATAAAGATTATACCCAAAACGCTACTGAGCCAAGAACATTTACAGAAATTCAACCTGCTGAAAAAGGCAATATATATAGAAATAACTCTGTGGCCTCTCGTACCATGTTGCTTGTAATTAATCCTTAATGAATAACACCAATAGCTTTTGTTCACTAACATAATTAATTTATTAGACTCATTTCAGTCCTCCTGGACCATCATTTGTGTTTACTGCAAAATGTTACAGACCAACGCTGATGATGTTCTAGTAGGACTGAAACACATCTAATAAATTATGAGAGCAAATGAAAGTTGTCAGTGTTAATAATGATTTAAAAAATTAAAATTTCCTGTAAAATAACAATTATCTGATAATAGTATCTAACTGTATGTATTTTACTACACATAGTTGACTATAAAAAGGTGTTTCTGTATTTCATTATCAGAGTTCTATATGTGATACAACAGAAAATATGCACAAGTAAATTTCCTTCAAATAACTTATACATACTTCTTTATCCTTTTTTCAATAATGGGACGGACAATACCCAACCAGTCTGCATCTGCAGTAACTGCACCAAGATCAATTGGGCCTTCTTTAAGTCCATCTAATTCATATAACCGTCCATCTATAGGAATGTAACCAACAAAGTGGTATACATCATCATCCTTGGAAGCCAATTTAGATTCAAATTCAAAAAGTGTCTGCCTGAAAAATAAGTAACAGAATGAATGTAGTATGAGGAAATTTGTATGGCATGCATCTACAATTAACTTATGGGCAAAGTATAGTGAAATTTTATCCAGCAGCATCCAATAGGACTCTGTTGCATATACAACTGGAGTCACATTAAACACCCGGATGCATTGTTAGACCTGTAGTTACATCGAAAAGGTATGCAATGCACAAGACCAGGCTTTAGTAACATAAGATGACTTCACCTAAACTTCATGCAGTAGCATGTACTTGTGTTGGTTATTCACAAGGCAAAATCTGACACTACAGCTCACACTAGCATGCCCCTTCATTCACTGCAGACCATCAGCAGAACATAACACTGGTAAAAATTATTGCAATTATTAATCTGCGGGCAAAATTTCAATGAGAACACCCCAATCTCTGTAATTTCTGTTAAAGATGATAATTATATCTTCAACTTGCCATATGGGATATAGCGTGTATAAATGTAATGTCTTTAAAAACATAATACAGGCTCTGAAAAAATCATGTCTGAAGGAAATATGAAGGAAACACATATTCCTGTAAAACAAAACACCCTTTACAAGCTTAATGTTTAAAAGGAGTTCTCAGAAAAAATACTACTACTGGTATAACAGTATGACAAAGGTGTATTGGCTGCTGATATTTTTAATTCCATCACAATTATAAAGTCTAGCAAGCTCACTTCTTAGTAAGAAACTTTACCTGTAAGATGATGACCCCATAAATCACTGATTATGCACATACAATTTTGTTGGTTAAGTGGATATGTAATGACACAACACTACATCAACTGCTAATGCTCTGTAGGATCAAGTCAAACAAAGGTACAATGATTATGATTGATAAAACAGGGTGGATGTGGAAGGATGCAGTCATGGCCTACTTCAACATAATATCACATGCTCAGTCCTGACGGAGTGAGGAGAAATATAAAAATTCTTTATTAATCACTTTTTGCCTGTACATCAAATGTGTGCCTCCTAAATGCACAATTTTGGTTCTGACAGGTCTCCAGTCATTTGTTTATAACAACACTCTTTATCAAGGGCAATGTGCAAAACTTACCACACATGCAAACAAGCCTGCCTCAACATCATGATATTAACAACCTCCAAAATCCAATTGGAGGCTTTAAGCTTAGAACACTCCCCTTTACTTACCGGGCAAATGAATTGTGAACAGAACGTATGGTCTGAGAGTTGCTCAGTGCAAGTCCTTTCATATTAGCATCAAAGCTTTGGCAGAACTCTTTAAATTCTGTAAGAGTTGGGCCCAGAGTTAAATCTGGGTGTTTGCAATTTAATAAAATACTAAGGATTGCTTGAGTAGCACAGGCATTATTGATGACCTAAAACAAAAGAAAATTACACTAGCATCTACAAAAGATGAACAACAGCCGGGTAAATATATATATATATATATACACACATACATACATATACATAAACACACACACATAAAAATTCTGACCACCTGACAAACTTCCAGTAAGTAAAAAATGTAAATAAGAAAAAGGTTTCTTAGTTTGTCATTCCTCAGTTTATGATACAGTGTTTATGTTCCAATTCTTTAAGCCTATTAGTATGACAAGGCAGTGCCAAAACTCAGTCACCAGCCTCTCACTGCATATGCCTGGGTTTGCAACCAGGACACTCCATGTGGGAATTATGATGGACAGAGTGACACTGGAACGGGTTTTTCTCCAAGATCTTTGGTTTCCCCCATCAGTATTATTTCACTGCTGCTCCATATTCATTCATGTGTCATGGGGCTAGACAATGGGCCAGCTAATGGTCATAATTCCATACAGACATTGTCTTTCCCCTCCATAACAATAATGGCAAAAAAAATCTAGTTCTTTCTCCCACACAAGATCTTCTATTTGTGGAATTATGTAAGGTAACTGAGAGTGAACAGTAGTATCTACATGGGTGTAAAACCACTTTTTTGAAAGTGACCATTACCCTGATACCCAGAAAAATAAAAGTTATTCAATCGGACTTACAAAAGTTGCAGAATTATACTGTTTTAGGTTAACACTGTTGAGAATTCATTAATATATACAAATCTGTTTTGCCACATTTATGATTGAAGTATACAGTAGGCCATGAATGAGCAAACTGCTTCAAGGTACTGTTTCCAGTGTGAGACTATTGATGATATTCGGATGATAATACAGTATTTGAAATTAGTGTATGTTATGATACAAACTAGTTTAAAAATATGGATGATTTAAAACAAACAGGTACCTAGAAGCTGTCAACAGATAATTCATTAAAATCATGTCCAATAGCTCTAATTTGAAACCAACAAGACAACCCAAAACTACATGTGTTCACACATATGATCAAACTCTATTTGCACACATTTCCTACTGTTAATTTCCAATATGTTCAGGAACAAAACATGACTGGTGTGTGTCACCTCAAATATGTTAGGAAATAAACAGAAATATATTAGATATTACTCAAACTATGTTGAAGAGGTCTTCCTTCATCTTTTAAAACCATGAAATGCACAATTATGTAAGTTTTAACCAGTCCATCAAAACTTAAGAACTTCATTACTCGGCATAAAATTATTTTATGAATGTATTATGCACAATTAATTACAATCTCTGTGGAGATATTTCTCTAATCAGTGGAATAGTATTTGTAAGCTGTTCTGGAACAGCAATGGCATTACTGCCTGCTTATGTATGAGTTTAATCATAGTATATTGTAACAAATCTCTCAACTTTATACTATCCCATCTAAATAATCTTACCCAGAGTTCTATAGAGCAAGAGACAGTTTTCTTTGGAGTTACATTTATCATATATTATAACTGCATTAACATTTTCAATTTCCATAGATTTTAAATGTCATTCACATATATTACTTATAGGTCTACAATCTGATAGCTGATAAAATATCTGGATATGTGAAGTGTAGTTAGCATTTGACATTACACTACATTACAGATGGGAACTGGGATGACAAACTGAGACAGCGCACAACCCTTTCTAACGGTGGCAGCATAGATTACTTCTTCCTGGGAGTACACCGCTCCTCATCCTCTAGTGCTGTCCTATGAGCAGAGATAGCAGCTTCGCTTAAGCTGGCTCAAGTCTGGGCAAGCAGTGGTCAATTGGCTGTCACTGCATCAGATAGGAATTGCTCCCTAAGAGCAACAAATTATGCTCAGATGCACTAGTAGGTCATTAGAAATGGCCAGTAGCAAACATTATATTAGTAAATACTTGGGTCCCATAAAAGACAGTGAATTTTACTAGCTGAGTGACTAATAGCTTTCCAATAAGAATTCTGTTCCGTTGGAAAAAAAAAAAGTTTTATTACCTGTTTGGCAAAAAATATTTTATCAAGCCGGGTGTCTTGAACAACAGACCCTGTTGGTTCATCATCTTGAACCCATTTAAACAAGAAAATCAACCCATGGATAGGCCTGCATAAAGAGAGAGAGATATGACATAATAATATAAAAAAATTATAAATATCCTGAAGGTAGCAATTCACACAATATAAATGTATGAAGAAACATACATCAAATTGTCAAACTGTTCTGCATCTAAGCTCCATAGTTCCTCTACCTGGACACCTTTAACACCTGTAACATGAAAGTTCTTCATTACTGTATGATTAAATACTAAAACTATGCAATGAAAGAAAATAAATTATTGTGAAACCCAAAGCAGTTGTAGTCACCATTATCTGTTAGCTCACTATGTTCTATTTATATAATCCAATAAGAATATCAGTCACACAAACTAAATGGAAAACAAAACCAACTTTCCATTTCATCAATGTCACACTTGACTATGGACATGATGACAAGATAACAGTAACAGGTTTCAAGCATTAATGGTGATTCATTGTTAATGATGATCCTGCTTTTGTGTGGTTGCATTGTGTGGAAATGGGCAGTTTCCTCAATCATCAGCAAGTTCTCATAAAATGTAGGCAACACAACCCACTTCCATGGTGCAAGCATGCGAAAGCAGGATCAACAAAAACAAGTAATACTTGATAAAGAATAGAGTATTTTATACAATCCATAGCCTGTTTAATGACCATGTTACATGTTAAATGCTGTCACTCTGACCAACAAGTGGATTACATATATGTACAGGCTAATTTTCTGACAGCATAATTATTCAGAATTATGACATTTTGCACTCCAATAACACATTTTTGAAGTACCGAAAATACCTTTTAATTGTCCTTGTTTCCACATATGGAGTGCTCTCTCTCTCTCTCACTATATATATATATATATATTGCAAGTGCTCCTCCATCAGACAATAAAGAAAGCCACATTTAGGCATGTCTCATTCACTTGTCTAACCACAAGAGCTTTGGTGTTAACAAAAAAGAGGGTTTCCCTTAGGTAACCTGACCTAAACTCATCTAACAAGTAGGAGAAACAAAACAATCGGGAAAAGCACTAAAAAGTCATCCAGAATATCACAGCATAAAACAGGACTCAAAACATACTCTTGTGCATTTATTTTGGTGTGAAAGACTAAGTACAGTGATACATAAATATAACGTGGATGGCTACGTTAAAAGATTCTGTAGAGCATTTGTCATTATAGTCTAAGTTTCGACTGTGCTACCCAGCTATAAAGTCCCATTATTAATATCTATTAATTCTTATTAGAAACATCCACTTATTCAATCTAACAAAACCATGTGTCTTGATACGTATCGCAGCACCGAAAAATTTATTGACTATGAATTGGAGGGTTAATGAATAGTTAATACGTTTCCAAAATTTAAATCATCTAATGAAAACCTGTTTATATGGTGTACACCAACCAACAAAAGGAAAAAATTCAGAAACAATGGTACCCTAAATTCACATAAGGAAATATACATTTACCAAATTCCTTGATTAATTCTGTAAAAACACCAGGATCACTTTCAATGAGACACCAATTTCCTGCGCTATCAGCCATTTTCTTCAATGACTATGATAATATCAGATCAATGGTGTATACCACACTTGCACATGTATAAACAATTATTACCAATGTAATTTAAATTATAACCTTAGAGGACTCTGTAATAGCTCATACATATAGCTAGTAGTAGAACTTCGCCACTGACTTCTGAGAACGGTATATCGATACATGCAGCAGAGAAGACTAGACTTGTTCCTTCCCCCCCCCCCAACACCTTCTAATGAATACCAAACCGTTAATTAATACAAAAGAAACTTGAATTACCCTACATAATAAGAATATATCAGAATAAGACATTATTTATAAGTTTGATATCTTGTGTTTATAATTTAACCAACATTTGTACATTTTATTAATTACACTTAACCTTTCAAAACCCAACGGTAATTAAAGCTACCACCGGCGTTACCATTTCGTAACTCTGCATTTTGTCCAGTGTACTTATGGATTTTCTACCACCGTTCTGACCATGGAGGTGGGGTCGTAAATTAAATACTTGTATTAGTGCACTTACAATAAAGAAATAAAATTTCAATACAAAAAAGCACTTCAACGCTCCACAGACAGGTGTAACACTAAGTCAAATTTTGCGTGGAAAGACATTAATGAGCTAAAGTAACACATCTTTTAAAAATATACAATTTTATTACCACATTGTGTTTGTGAACTGCAAAACAAAAATGTCATATTCCAGGGTTCATGGTCTTTTTCAGTCTCTCCAAGCAGATGCTAAAATAGTACCCTAAAATAAGGCCACATTCTAATGTTATTCACCAATCAACCTACTGCTTTACATTATATAATATGGGCTGTAGATAGTATAATTAAATAAAATATAATAGCTGTGTGAAATTCATATTTGACTGTTGATTTCACAGTGATAGACAATGAAACATTGGAGCTAGACAGTAAAGTTTATATGGAGCTTATAAACAAACCTATGTATTCTTATGAAACAATTTTGTGTTGGTAATTAAAGTAGTGACTGTAAAACTTTATTATATTTTGCAAATTTTAGTGGGTTCCTGTACTAGTGGAAATTGAATAGAAATAACTCAATTGAATGATTATTAATTTTCAAGAGTTTCTACCTTCACCATACAGACAAACATCTGAAGGAAAGTATGTGTAACTTGTTCCTGAAATTTTACTGATGTGACATATTTCTATGAATTCTAGAACAGAATAAAATTTATATACAATCCATAGATCCTTCAAAGTACAAGAAAAGAATCACAACTCAGTCATCACATGGCATGCCCTTATTAACTTTTCTCAACATACAGAACTTCTTCACTGTCTTCAGGTCTGTACACTTGAACATCACTTGCATTACTGATAATGTGGGTTGCCACACTAGTTGCATGCCAATAGTTGAGAGGACAGCACTGCCTGTCATCATATTGTTACCTACAATATTTCTTAAGAACTGAGGCATGAAATGTAATGTAATTTAATTCCTGTCTCTGATCTTAAAATGTTCACACACATCACTTCCAAATTTTTATTAACTTAAGTGACAGTTGTAATGGCTGTAATAACAATAGTGGTGGAAGTACTAGTTGTAGCAGCAACAGCAAAAATGTTGAGTACCTACATAAAAGTTTGAAACATTTCAGCTTTATTATGTATATGATTCTGAGTTTAAAATATCTTACAATTCACAAAGGTAATAACATACTTCACAAATACACAAATAAAATTGCTTTCCTTTGGCATTCAATAATTGAAAATAACTGAAAATGTTAATATAAATATTTAGCTTCAAATTTACACAAATTCTGTTACCTTAATACAACAGTCATGTAACTATTTACAACTGAATCGCTTTAAAAATGTCATTCTATTTTGTAAAATTTATTACACACACAAACGTTGTCTACACTTAGACAACACTTCTTTTACATTATACAACCACATCCAGGTTACAAATATAAAAACAGCATAACTCATTCAGCCACAAGACTGGAGGAACACAAAGTACTGAACCTGGCACATATTACATGATGTGCTCCACCCATAAGTTGCCACCGTCACATATTAATTTGTACTAAAACTCAGGAGAAACCTGCAGCACATCAATCAAAAGTTCTTTTTTAAAGCAAATTCACAGTAGCTTATATGATTTGGTAGGTACAGTTACAGAATGAAGGAAAGTACTAAAACTGAGATAAAGGTAATCGATGGAGTTTGGCATTATAGAAGGAATTTTTACAAACTAATATAAAGTATATAGCCCAACATAATATAAAAGATAGGTCTGAATTTGTTAAAACCTTATCTATTTTATCATTTTAAGTGGAGTCTTTTTGCTTCTAAAAATATGCAACATCATAAACAAGGAATTGTAATATTTTCACACATCAAGCTACCAATAAAATTCTGAGGATGGATTTGTTAAAACAATTTTCCATCAGAAAATGGTTATGGTTAATGAAGAGACAGCTTATAACATAATAAATTCTACAAATGTTTTAGAAATAAGAAGTACAGGAAAATACTACAAACTTAGATATAAATAAGAATGGTTCAAATGAAACCCACATGCAGAGATGTTAATGAATACAACCAGCCACAGGCAATCACATGTTTGCATACATTTCACCGTCAACCACAAACTGTATAACAGAACAGGTGCACTAGAGGTAACAGGAATAGTGCAACATGATTAAATGCTGGCATTTCAAGTGCACAACTGTACAAACAAGATCAATGAGCTCTCATTCAGTTATTTAGTACAGAGGGTTATAACCATTCATGTACAATGGTATTGTGGAATCCTCCACAGACTTTGCAGCACCATGAAGAGAAAGCATCCTCACAAGGGGTTTCATCATGTGCCCCTGCACTGTCCAGGATATGATGCACCCAGTGTGCTTGAAGGTGATGGGCCATATCCCATACAGCAATAACCAATCATTCTGTGACTTCCATTTGTTTCACCCCCTCAAGAGAGTGCTACAAGACCACAGATTCAGGGTGGATGAAAATATCTTGTTATGATGGTGCAGTGGTTCCAGCAGCCCAGGTAGTTCTTTTCAGAGGAGATCCATCTGGTATGTCACTCAGCACCTGTGGGGACTGTTTTTAAAGGCACATACTCCTTTTGCCAGAAGAATCCCCAATCAAAATTCATTTGAAAGACCCTCATATAATCATCCTTTCATCTCACTCAATACACCATAACAGCAGCAGGTTATGAGTACAAACCGCATAACTCCTCTCCATTCACAAGTTTTATCTCAGCACTCTGTCTTTAAAAACCTTGATTATGGCATTAAAGTAATCATTACAGTAAATAACTGGAGTGAACAATAATTTGTAACAGCCATACAATTCTGGCAGCATTGTAAAGAATGGGGTGAATTTATTTGCATAAAGCTGCAAAACATTCCTTTCTTGTGGGAAAAGAAGCAGGCTTATGAGATCACCATGTTGTCTGTTCCCCAGATAAACATTTAAACAAACAGACTAATTTTCACAAACTGTAGTATGCCAAGAGATGTCACCTCAACCTCATACATTTTAATTTCCTATAATCAATAACAATAATTTATTGGAACTATTCATTCCCCACTACCAGGCAGTTAACAGCTACCAAGCCTGATATCATTCTCATCGATGTCTCTGAACGCACTATGTATGTCATTGAGTTTTCAGCCCCCTGGCTGAAACAAACATAGCTGTGAAGGAGACTAACAAACGAACCAAGTATAAAGATCTCATGTTTGAGCTAAGACAGTTGTATCCCGGACTTAATGTCAAATTAGTAGTCCTCATAATCAGAGTTCTTGGAGGAGTCAAGCCATCACTGCTGGCTAACATTAAGCTTATTCCGGCATGCCAGAGTAACGCTGAAGCATTACTTAGCCGCATGCAAAAGGCTGTGTTTCTTGGGTCACTCCAATTACTGTGTACGCACGATCCCAACTCACTGTAGCCGCCCATCTTGTGGTTTGAGCTGTGGCTACAGTTTCACATGGTCAGCAAGCAGTCAAGTTATGATGGCCAAAAGCCCAACGTTTTTGGCTGTTTGTGGACCAACCAATTGATTCACAACAACAATAATAATAATAGTAGTACTGATAATTATAATGATGATGGTATGATGGGCATACATACTTGTGGGGTAAAAGCAACATCACAGTCACTTAATGTAGGGCCGTGAAATTATATGTGGTAATACATTTTTGAAAAATATGCAAGTTTTGTTAAGACAATTTTAGCAGAATGTAAAACAACACCATGGGAATACTTTAGTTTAGTTTGGATTTAGAACTGACAGTTATAACCGATTAACTAACTGATAAACTGTTGAATTCAGGAATATGAAATATTATATAAAGGCAGATTATGAAATATTTTTTGTAAGTGACAATGAGAAACACAAGATGGTAATAGCCTTTGAGATTACTTCTGACAGATTTAACATAATCATAATCAGCACTCAAGTAATATGTTCTCCCAAAAAGGAGGTGGCAGAATTGCTAATATTCTATAATGTATTCATAAATAAAGCAATAAAAAGCAAGTATAGAAATATATGAATAGGGAAACAATTCTATTCATTTACCATAATTTTACCTTTGTAAATAGGGTGAGTTATATCAGAGTTGTCTGAGGTCAATGATCTACATGTGACCTATATGGCTGGGTGATAGAAATGGAAGATTCCCCATTGATTGAAAGGTTGGATGGAAATTCCCCACTAACACTTCCATGTACAGAAACACATTTTCTGATCACCGATGTATAATGTTAACCAAAATTGGAATGTGGTAACAGATATTAGTAAAACCTATGAATATGAAACAAACTTCATTGAAATAAGTTCAGCAATTCTCAAGTTACATGTGGATAGACATGATGAAGCTTAATAGGCACATTTCTGCAACTTTTAGTTGTGACATGCCTAAAACAGACTGACTGAAGTATGGTTCAATCCATGACAATCTGCTTACAACCACAGCATAATAAAGCATGAAAAATGCTTAATGTTATTGTTAGATTTAAAATTTACAATTACCTAACCATAACAAACATGAAGTTTGAAGGACTAGAAGTCAGTAGGAAAGTAGCCTTTGTGAGTTCTACCTGGACATCCAGATCGTTTTTTATGGTTAGTGTAGAGTACAGCTATTACTTTAAAAATGCTGTGCTCAGCATATAAAATTAACACATAAAATTAAATGTTATTGCCCAGAAATATCTCAATGTCCAGCATCTACTGCCTTCTTTCAGGGAAAACATTATCTGTTTCTGTTACACAAATAAATATGCGGATTCCTAGGTTTACCTAATGGAATGTTATTGTATACAGAAGCATCAGAATGGGGAACAATGTACCTCACCCCTTTCAACCAGTATACACATTTGCATAAAAAAACCAGTTGCTTCTTAAGCAGGAAGATAATGTAGCAACAACTGAAGAAGAGTGAATAATGGGCATCTTCTTCAGTTGCATCTGTAAAAAAATCCAATAAATACAAATTTGTGATGAATCACAAAATTTCTTTTAGTAAGTCATGAATTAAAGGATCATGCAGTTCCTGGAAGGATAGAAACACTATCTTGTATATTCCTGCAGTAAATCTTGTCACAAACTTACAGTTGTGAAATAAATCAGGATTAGGGGCCTTTGGCAGCAAAATCTTCACCCAATGAGATGGGTGGTAAGAGTAGTCATTTTGTAAAACAATTCACTTTCATATGAATATTTAAAAATATGCTTTTCATTTACTTCATAAAAATTATTTTACCCAAATTATATACTCTGCTATCCCAGTTTCTAAAAGCTCACAAAAATGTACCTTAAGTTCCTGCTTTCCAGTGTCATCCTGGTTGATGGCATCAATAAGTCTCATGTCTCAGAAGGGTTACTTTATCCAAATGTGCAACATGAATTTGTTTTACGAGCTGTTTTATAGAAGGCCTTAGACTGCATGCTTAACCCTTCTGACTTGGCTACCAAATCATCCAATTTCTCTCCACGCTCTAAAACTGCTTCTATTGTGTTGTGCTGAAGAAGAAAATGAATTAAAAATGTATATTAAAAGTAAAAATGGTAATATAATAACAGAAAAAGGTAAACATTTTAGTGTCAAGTGACAATAAACAAGAGTGTCAAGTACTATTCTATTCAAGCACTCTTCTTCTTATTTAAAACACACATGCTGACAAAATTAAATGATGTTTGGACCTTTCTGTCCTCTGTCTGTGTGAAAATAATAAAGAAACCAATTATGATACAACCACAGGATGATGCTGGCTGATACAGCAAACCTTCAAATCAAACTTTCAATAGTTTACTGTTAACAACAAACTTCTTTGACATTACCACTGTCCTAATTTTAATTTAAAAATGGAATTTAAGAGACTGGAATCTGTCTCTGTCATCAAGCAAAACTTACTCTGTTAGCCCAATCAATACAGCTATTCCTTATCTCTGAAGACAGATTCCAGTTCCAAAAACATTGTTTCTTAATTAAAATTGGCCAATGGATGGCCCTTTATTAAATACTTAACCTTTCAACAGACAGACAACAGTAACAGCATACTCATCAATCTTTAAACTGAAATTAAAGTTACAGGCTAACATTGGTGTCTGGTGCACAAAATGGGTGGTTAAACTGAAATAACACGCATCTCTTGCAGGGGAGAGAAGATATATTGGGACACACAGAAAGATAAGAAAGAGCTCTTATAAAATGAAGAAAAACGCTTGTATGTAACAACAACATGCAGAAAAACCTTTTCTACAAAGAGAATCCTTACCAATATTATCTTTGTTTCATCAAGTTCTTCTTGTATTTTTGTCATAGCATCAGCTTCTCTAGGATTCTGGTACTTAGCAAGGTATGTGTACAACTGAGGGAATGATATTGTCGCTTCAGAACCAACTGGCCATAATGCTGCAGGCACACTTAATGCAAAATCATCAAGAACCTATAGCAAGAAAGATATGTTGATAAAAAGACAAATACAGAATTAGAATCAAATAGAAATGAGAATACATGTACAATATAATTTCAAATTCACAGCAATAACTGAGAACCTTATTCTGCAACTCATCGTTCTGCTAGTAACTAATATATGTGCCTCATCAGCTCTCCCACATTTTGACAGAAAATAATACACCTTTAAACAGTAGTTAAAGAAAGAAGATGGCTGGTTGTATTTCTTGTAAGGACAATATATTATTTCAAGCCCTAAAATTAATATAAAATTATGACAAAACAAGTTCACAAAGGTGGTGAATTATTAAGAACTGTTAAACTCTGCATATTTGAGGAAAAGACACTGTTCTTGTAAACAGCTAAGTTTTTGGTACATCCAGAGCGTATGCCATAATTTTCTCTTCTATTTCACCCTTTACTTAAATACTATGCAAATTTCACTTATAAGTATATTCAATATACAGCCTTGATACTTTAAATCAATCCAGAAAAAATATTTCAAGACAAAAATATTAAATTATATAACAGGAACCTATTTCCCTACTTTACTTTATCAGTATCACCTCCTGGCAGTTTAGTAGTACAATCCCATCATCAACACAACATAACATGCCCTCCCTATTAAGAACTATTATTCCTAAACATGAGAGACAATTCTTACCTTCTCTATATTCAGGGATCCCATTTTATGATAAACGTTACCACATACATACTGAATACTGTTGCTGAGTAGTTAGCCCAGTTGCTTTGAATTCAAGAGGTCCTGGATTAAATTATTTGCCTACAGGCTGGCTATCCTGAGGTTTTTGCAGTTTTTCTCAATCCCTCCAGGCAAATGCCATAGTAGGCTTCTTAAATTAGGCAATGATTATGTCCTTCCACACAATTCATTTATTCATTTCAATCATCCTATCATTTGATACTTCATAATCTGAGCTATTGACATCACTGTTAAATAAATCACAAATAAAAAATACACTGACACTGTTGACTGCTCCTGACTGCCAGAAGTTGCCCCACTAGACAGAACGTAAGTAACAATAAAAGACCAAGTTTAACGGCTTCTCATCACCTCTACATAGTATGATGACATGTAACTTATGCCTTTTTCACTTACACAACATATCAACATTGTTACAGCATTTACTGACAGATAACTAACTGCAGTAAAAAAGTTTAGTTTAATTTATACTGATAAAGTGATATTAAGCAACATGTTGTTACTGTCCAATTATGCACAATCTTCAATTCAATTCTATTCATCCTACTTGGTCAAAACATTTGACATAGGATACATCTTTCAAATACATGGCTCACAAGTTATATGAAAAGAACCTAAACTGTAATTACATTCCAGCCTTAAATTTGTAGTAACAAGCATTTTCCTTTCAACTAGCAATGACAACAAGTTATTATTTAGCTTCCCTACATTTATTTTACTTGTATCAAACAGAATAGTAATATATTATAACATTACCTTAGTGATCAATGTGTGAGAAACACGATGGGGATAATCATGGTCTGATATCAAAACTCCACCTAAATTATCTCCTCGAACATACACATGACACATATATTCTGAAAAATAAGCAGCATTCAGTACCACGTAACAGAAGTGCAATGCTTGAAAATGTCAGTGATTCGTAATAAGGATAACCTATTTACCTCCTTCTTTTACTGACTGTCTTGCAGCAGTCTGCGTTCTTTCTACAATTGTTTTACTAACAAATGCCATGAATTCTTGAACACTGCCTCTTTGGAAAAAACCAAAGGCCGATAGATCATATGCGGATTTAAGCCAAATGGCATTATTTGTGCCCTTGTACAACACGCTCAAAGCATAGAGTTTCACCATTTTTTAAGCTCAAAATATAAAGCCTGCAATACAAACAAAACAGATGAATCATTTCAGCATAGTCACACACTTTCTGACTAATGAACAAACTGATATTCACCTGCTCTTCATGAAAGTAACACGAATATCAAAATATGTACAATAATACTATTTATAACGAGCGATCTTGCTTAAAATTATTGTTAGCAATATACAAGATCAATTTCGTCACTTAACATAACAATTCAGCAACACAAATCATTCCTTCGAGTTAGACATCTTAGAACAATGTTACCAACGCTACAGAAATTACTTAGAGATATGGTTGACAACTTCTAACTGTGCAAGGTACAACTGGCAAAGATAATATATCTTGATCCAACAGGGCATCTTGCTAGTAGAACTGTCTTCATGCAGTCTCATCGTTCCACTGGCTCCTCAGCTCTTTCCGCAATAACGAAAGCGGATTGTTGACGGCAATAATGAAACACAACAATGCCGAATAAACAGATGACATAACAATTAGTTTCTTAGGTAAAGGAGTAAAGAATTGTTATGCACGCAGTTCATATAAAAGCTGACCATTGTCGGTCCATATTTACATGGATCTTACACATTTTCCTAACGATGTTTTGCCGAATGACCTTTCCGTATAGACATATTTACGTCAAAAAACATATTTCTTAACTCACTACGCCTGGTAATATCAGCGTGACGGTTGCTTGAAATCATGCGGCGGAATGATGACACCATTACGCACGGTTCTCAGCGAATTAACCGAACCTAACCCAACCAAACGAGTACTTCATGTCATACCCGTTTATGCGCATATTATATCCTTATCATTTCGTATTTAAATTAAATTTGGTATGGACTTTATACCATAGGCGCTTACTTTGCCTCTATTAACGGGACGATGAGTGTTGGAGGCAGCAAGGACCTCTGAAACGTCGGTAAACTTCTACCAGACTACAAGGTGCAACAACCCAGACGACAGCCATCTTCAACTTATAAAGAACTAGAAACTCCCTACAAATAGAAATTACTTCCACATGGGTGGTAGGCACTAATTCACTGCAGCACATTTTGGTTTGCAGGTGTAGTGCTTTTACTTCACTAATTCGACCATTAAATTTGATACTATCTGGTCCCACGATTGGAACTTACACACATTATGTATATATAAAATAACATGTTGGATGAGAGGATTCTATGCCTGGATTGTTTGTTATGGGGAGCCTTCCACAAAGTTTCTTTGTTACTGTACATTTTAATTCAACATCAGATGCGGAAAGTATTGCCATGTAAACAAAATAATGTGCTTTACAATAAAAGTAACATTAATTATGAAACTAATTTTACATCATCCATGCATTTCCCCCGACATCTGGTAAGAGAAGCACAAACACACTGTATCTGAATTTCCTACTGTCTTATTAATATAGGAAGTAAGTGGAAAACACAATCTTCTATGATGGTGTGGCAAATAAATCACATCCCTTCTTACAAAAGACACAATTTAATGTGCCTTGTATGCAAATAAATTCAGGTCAGAGAACCTTTGTAGACATAAATGGGTGAATATTCAAATGGAATCTCAGAGAAAACAGACTTAGTGAGAGACCATTAGCTTACAAACTCTCTACAACCCTACAATTAATTTAACAATGAATGAGGCAGTATTTGGATGAAAAACTCTGGTGTGACAAAAGATGGTTTAAATTGCCCTTTTTACATTTTGAAGGTGAACTTACATTAACAGAATTTAGTAAGCATGGTTTGAAATAGTGCCTTCCCCATGATCAATTTTAACACTGTTTACCAATTTGCATAGTCTCTATCTAGAAGACTCTCTAACAGACAGATAAACAAGCAGTTATCCTTCAAAATATCATGCTATTTGTATAGGCAATGTAAAGATGTAATTCTACGCATTCTCAACCTAAGATTCTCCAAACATTAAAAAAAGATGTTCCTGAATAGATCTGTGACCCACACCCAATAAATCAACTACTTCTAGCAGTTTGAACAAGAAATACTTGAACCTTGCAGCACTCCCTACAATTATTTCTGTGATTCAATTACTTCTTTATAAAGCCATGCAGCACAAGAAAACACAACCTGTAAGACACAGATTAAATGCAAATCAATGAAAGCAGTACCATATAAACCTGCTACATGGTTTCAATAATATAAAAGAATTTAGTGGACCAGCTGCAGACCATGTAATCAAAAACCATTGTAAGAAACAATCTGCTACAAGAACAAAATATAATAAATGGGATTCAGTTCTTAATTCTACTCTTCCTAAGCTGCATAGTAAAATTTCCTCCTGATACATAACACAAAGATTGAAGGTGAGTGTCTTTTAATATACACTGTATGAACTTACAATACAGCTTTCATAGCATGAAAATTGTATTCCATAACCAATCAATCACCTTTTTACTATATATAGGGCAATCAAGAAGTTTCCGGAATTGTGGTATAGCATGGTAATGGTAGGACATAAGGCGACGCTTACCTAATCACCTTCAAAGTAGGACCCTTGCGCACACACACACTTGCTCCATCGATCCTGCCATTGTTGGAAGCACCGGCGGAAGGCTTCGTTTGGAATCTTCTGGAGTTCGGCGAGGAATTGCTGCACAACCAGCGATGGCCGAACTCCGGAAGATTCCAATGAAGCTTTCCGCCGGTGCTTCCCACAATGGCAG